AGCTTGGATCAGACCTACTTTGAAGTATTGTTCTCATGTATAGATCTCCGCCCCTAAGCATACCCTGAAGCTGCTAGATTCTATTCAGAGAAGAGACAATCTGCTGATTGGAGACGCGAACATCACTTGCAACCTTGATAGTCTGGAACATCGAAGAAAGGTTGGAGATTTATCTCTCTTCTATAGATACTTTCACGGGAAGTGTTCAAGTGACTTGGATCATCTGATCCCACCAAGAGCGGTACATAGCAGAAAAACGCGACGGACTGTGGCTGCTCATCGTTTTGAGGTTCAACTCAGTACACCTCGAACTTTACTGTTCAAGAACTCTTTCATTTGGAGAACTGCGTTTATGTGGAATAAACTTCCAAATGGATTTGATCTCCAGCGATTTGAATCCAATGTGAATCACTACTTTCGCACAGGCACCGCTCTTAGAGCGCCTTAAGGATTTTCCTGTAGTGCTTGGGTTTGTAAAAAAAAACTACTTTCATTGAACGAAAATTTACTTTCTTCTATTGAGTTTGTACTCCATACCATTAATAGGAATGCTACACGATATAATATATGGAAGAGTTACGATGAAGAGGTGAAAAGTTAAAAAGGTTTTTTTCTCAAAAACTGATCTATCTCAGAAATATTCCATATTCAAGTTGAAGTTGTTTGTATCTTTTTCAAAAGAATGTTCTTCGCGTAAACTCAGTATTGATATTGATACGGATATGTAAGTAGAGAGATTGAATAAAAGGAATAGTTGAATATTAGAACAATGTACTAATCAAAAGTTGTAATGAGAAGAAGTCAGTGCGTGATAAGAGGATCCTCTATACGGTTTTGATCGATTATTGTAAGGCATTTGATAGCGTATCAGTTCATCTTATATTTGTCACGTGTTATGATTTGCCTGCAGAAGATACAGAAAAAGAATAAAATACAAACTTTGGTATTTTGCAATGACAACTTGACCATATCAGACTGTTGTCTGACATGGTGTTGAATTTTAGGTATTTTTCTTCGTTCTTAACACTTCCTTGAATTCTTCAAATACTTTCAGATATTTTTTTGGTATCTTTGGTTTTTATGGTCATTAGCCTCTTTCAGATAATTTAAACTTGGGTTTTGAATTTGAAACAAACGCCAAATATCGATAATATCATTTCTTGAAGTTCAGATCAGTAGTTTTATTGCCGGACTCATTCGACAGCTGGGTTGATGGAGACTCGAGGAATCTTTTGTAAGAGTACTGGATCTGTTCGAACCGACAACAATAAGCCATTGTGCACTTCTTTATGCAGCCTCGAGCTCACCTGATTCAAAAAGTATGTGAAAAGTCTTGTGAAAATATTACGAACCTCACATAGTGGAAGGTGTTTATAGGCCTATTTAACACCAAAATCATCAGGTTCGTGAAGCGAAAATTATCCCTATCAAATTTAGGTAATTGGTTATTCGCTTGACATTAGATTTCCTTTAACTTTTCAGATACCGAAACCGGCACTTAGTCGGTATCTGAACTGATAGTTCTGCAAGCGATATTTGGCATTTTTCAACATGTTGTTTTAAAATTGGTCGGGTGTTGGCATGAACGGTTGATTACTGCTTAATGCATGCCCTATACCACTACAAAAAGGATTGGAGATGAAAATAAGGAATGCTGCAAGTATCTCTGAAATATACCAGAATACACAATATTCGAGGGTAATAGATAGATTGAACAAGGCATCACCAATAACTGAAAGTATTGCATAACAGATATCATGTCACCAACACAATCGGGGGATAAAAAGAAGTAGACAAATGCAAGACAGTAAAAAAGTAAATGTAGAAATGGAGATATTTTAGGTACGAGTCTCGAACTGGGAGTCTCATTGCTGAGTTAGAAGTCCATGAAGTGTTTTCCCTTTGTAGAGCCATATATCTCTTCTACAATTTATTATGAAAATATGATAATGTGTCGAATGGATTGTTCTGAGGTTTAAGTTATGACGTTGATAAAGGGTATGGATAAAGGGTATGGAAAGTAGGAAGGTAGGTGAGATGGGTAGAAAATAAAAGTTCCTGAAAACAGATCCAAGAGAGTCGGATTCAATATCAGTAGTTTTATTGCCGGACTCATTCGACAGCTGGGTTGATGGAGACTCGAGGAATCTTTTGTAAGAGTACTGGATCTGTTCGAACCGACAACAAAATAGGCCATTGTGCAGCCTCGAGCTCACTTGATTCAAGAAGTATGCGTTAACGGCTGCAAGTGCCATTTCGGTGAGTCTTGTGAAAATATTACGAACCTCACATAGTGGAAGGTGTTTATAGGCCTATTCTGCCTATTCAACACCAAAATCATCAGGTTCGTGAAGCGAAAATTATCCCTATCAAATTTAGGTAATTGGTTATTCGCTTGACATGAGATTTCAAAACCTTCCTTTAACTTTTCAGATACCGAAACCAGCACTTAGTCGGTATCTGAACTGATAGTTCTGCAAGCGATATTTGGCATTTTTCAACATGTTGTTTGATTTAGCAGTAGTTGCTGGTTTGCGTTCTAATGCTTTTTTACACGCTTTATATTAGCTTCACCTGTATGTATGTATGTACGTNTTAAAACTATATTCATTTAAATGTTGTTTTTTCAGATCATGAGATGTAAATCCTGCACCATTCACATCACAATGGCAATTCACATCACAATGGCAATTCACCTGATAGACACTTTTCTGAGATGAAAAATAACAACATAGCAATTATATGATTCGCAATATCTATCAACTTTGCTACTGTTTTTTCTCGCAAACTTGTCGTAAACTTTTTCGATATTTTAAGAAGTGAAACCGCTTTCTTTCTCTTGTGAAAACTTGAAAGAAAGAACGGCCTAATGAATGAGTGTCATTTATGATGGTTTCTTTCACAGTGGCAGAACTACTGAAGATGCTAACTACTGTACTGCCAAAATGTTGACAAAACTTCACTTAAATAGGCAGCATTCAGTTGCAGTTGAAAAAATACAATAGAAAACGATGACAGGAAGTATCGAAACTTCTCCGACAAAAGATACCTGCAAATATTTCCCTTGTTGCGAAGTTTTCCGAAAGATTCCCAAAGTTTTCTGTGAGCTAACAACACGACTCAGACATCAAATAATGGATTTCCCTCGGTACGAACAAGGATATCGAGAAACAAATCTGCCGACTTTGCCAATTTTCTAAATGATTCCAACCCGTCTTTCGAACGTAACCGGAGCATTTATCTTTCACACTTACGGCGCGCATTCCTGGAACATTTCGTGGTTCAAGAACGATAGAAACGTTGGAATGTAAGCATTTCTAAAGTAGTGATTTCTCACGGGATTTACAGGATGTGATGCAACAATGCGAAATAAGAAAGGGGAAATGATAGATTCGCCTACGTATGGAAAGCAATGTGCATGGGATGCTGGTGAATAAATCATCAAGATTTTGAATTATCCTTGCCTGATAACGGAATAAGATAAACTAGCTGTGAAAACTCAGTTGGAGGTATCGTTAAGATAGTAAAAATATTTACTATTAAACAGAGCGACTATTTCCTTGAATATGTGCTTGAACAGAATAAATAAGGTACGGCTTTCTCCTTTTCCGTCTTTAAACGAAAGTATGTGCGAATCTTTCAAATAAAGGAAGAAAGTGATCAATTTCGAAACATTAACTCTTCACAAAGATGTGTAGATCATGCAGAGATATTATGGGAAACAATAGACGATGTTTGCTATGAACTAAGCGAAAATAACAACAGTTAAAGTATTTCAGAATGAACTGAATTCCCAAAAAGTTGCTCTTTAATGGACCACTTATAAAAATGATTGCTTTTTTTAGGCTGAAATATCGCCTCAATTTATCAAAAAAATCAATGGAATTAAATAATGTGTTTGCCAAAATTCTCCGACGAAATTAGGAAAAATTAGTTTAAACGTTATTAATTGATAATTAATTTTCATTCGTTACATTTAAAAATCCATTTTTATTTAATGTTTCTGCGTGAATATGAAATACTACTATACAGTGTATAACAACGAAAACTTAACAGAGCCGTTTTTGAAAATAAAAA